TTGTATTATATTTTTTATAATTGTAATATTTATTTATAATTTATAATTATAATTTATAATTTGTAATTTGTTGTTTTTTTTTTTCTTAGCTGTAATTTTTTTATTTTTTTTATTTTATTTTAGTACTTCAACTTCAACTTATTTATTTGAAATAATTGCCAAGACGGCATATCTAATTTTCATTTAAGTTAAGGTTTTTTAAGGTTTTTTTAGCTTTATTTTAATTGCTATAACAATTTTAATTATTTTAGCTAAACATGATTTGTAGTAGTTTTAGTTAACATTTCCAATACTTTGGCTATCCAGTATTTTATTGTACTCATGTAAATAACTGTGCATTAGTGTCAGCTGATCATGATTTCTGCTTGTTTTTCCAAACTGAGGCACAGGTTGAAATGACGTGTGGTAATCAACAGCACGTCACAGCATCTGTCAATAGAGCTTAACTTGTTTCGCACCCAGAACGATTCAATCGTGAATCTGAGAGCGCTGTGCCTTCAGGCTGCTTGGAGAACATTTCTGACAGGTTTTCGTTTAGATTGCATGTGCCTCCGTTGCCTGTCGACATCCAGGGATTTCCCTTCAAAGACGGATCTGAGATCCAGTGAGGCTTTTAGGGCAGTTCACGAGGCTGATTTGATTTCCAGCTTGGTTTGCTGAGTTTGTGTGGATCGCGTCCAGCAGAACAGAAAGAAATCTATTATATTATAATATTAAGTAGGGATGCACCGATACCACTTTTTCCAGTACTCGCCCGATACCGATACCAGTATCGGTATCGGTGCATCCCTAATATTAAGTTTCTAATGGAATTTATGATCATGTTTCCACAACGTTCATGCGGCGTCACAAGAGAACGACAGATGTTTGAGATGTTGTAGCTTGCTGTGTATCCTCCCAATCCAAATGTCCTTTATACAGGACAAATTTGTTTTAGATATTTTTGTTCCTCAGTGATATTTAGGTCCAGATAGACGTTTTTCCGCGTATAGTTTTTGGGTGGAAATCTATAGAATCTGCAGAAACATGATTTTGTTTTCCAGTAGACTGATAAAAACGCACCCAATGCACCCTGACTTGTTACATTCGGCAACCCAAGAGCTTGTGATTTGCACAAATGCTTTCCGGCTTTGTGTAGTATTGCATCAAACAGTAAGTAGGTGGACTGTGGGCAACTGTAGTGCCGTCTGAAGCAGAAAATCCTTCACAAAAGACAGAGACCGCATTGAGTTATTTTTTTTTATCCTTTTTGTTTATTTGAAAGATGGAAAAAAATATTGTTCAATGCCAGGAAGTATGCATTTAAATTTTCAGTCAAATTGTTATGCTTAAAATATATTTTGTAATGGAAAAATGTTACATTAAAAATATGTTTCAAAATGGAAATTAAAAACATCAATTGCTTAAGCTAATATAATAGTGAAGATCTGTGAGTATTTTATTTTATTATTTTTATTTTATTTTTGTCCGACCAAACGTGCAGCCTAAGAATAAAATTCTGAAATTCAAAAAATTTAATTTTCATTCAAATGGGTTACAGATATATTTATAGATATGTGAATATCTGGGAATACTTTATTTTGAGTTATTTTTTTTTATCCTTTTTGTTTATTTGAAAGATGGAAAAAAATATTGTTCAATGCCAGGAAGTATGCATTTAAATTTTCAGTCAAATTGTTATGCTTAAAATATATTTTGTAATGGAAAAATGTTACATTAAAAATATGTTTCAAAATGGAAATTAAAAACATCAATTGCTTAAGCTAATATAATAGTGAAGATCTGTGAGTATTTTATTTTATTATTTTTATTTTATTTTTGTCCGACCAAACGTGCAGCCTAAGAATAAAATTCTGAAATTCAAAAAATTTAATTTTCATTCAAATGGGTTACAGATATATTTATAGATATCTGAATATCTGGGAGTACTTTATTTTATTTTATCTTATTTATTTATTGTTTTGTCAGACCGAATGTGAAAGGTTGTGACAGTATAATTTAGGTGGCCTAAGAAAAAAAAAAATATATATATATATATACATTCCGTTTTGTTTTTTTGTTTAGTTTTTTTAATAGGGTTGCAAATTAGAAGCATTTTCAGTGCTCTCAGACTTTGGGACCCTACTGTGTTTCATGGAAGACAGAAAGTCATACAGGTCCTTGAATATAAACCAGCAGGAATCATTCAGTGGTGTTTCTCCTAGTCTCCTAAGAGGCATTTTAATTAACCAGTGATTTATGTCATTGCTAATCGAATCATTACCGTGATAGCCTTTTCACGTGAGATATCTGGACTCAAGATAGATTGAGAGTAAAGAGTCTCTGTAGATCCTGTGTGTGTGTGTGTGTGTGTGTGTGTGTGTGT